CCCTGCTGCCTCCAGCTGGGCCTGACAAAGTAAGCGGGGGGGGGGGGGGGGGGGGGGGGGGGGGGGGGCTGGTGTACTTCCTGATGGAGGGAGGCAGCCTGATAATGAGGAGCTATTCTGGGACCGAGAAGAAAAAGCGGAGCGAACAGACAAACAGGCTGCTGCCAGCGCAACGCTGTATCCTGAGAGCCTGCAAACAGGCCTTGCTAATCCTGCACACAGGAGCTGTTAGCGTAGCAGCACCGTGCAGAGAGCTTGCAAACAGCTCTGCTATCGTCTAGCATAGTTATCATCATGATAAAAAAAGCAAATTTTAGACACTGCTGCTAGTACAGAGCTACCAGACCTGTGAGCTTCCTCATTCTAGCAGAAACTCCCATTAATCTCGTTTATTGGCTTAGGGGGGAGACATTCCATCTGACAGGACCGGGAGTAACCATAGTGACAGGACCAACACACCTACAGCAGGTAAGCACAATCAGAATAATGACCAAGTCTTATGAATTAGGGCTCTGACGCAGAGAGACCCACACCCTAACATTACCTTCAACCTGGTAGGTCATTACACCTCAAAGCTAACCAGATGCATAACTCATTAACCAGATCCGGGGCCAGCTTCCAGCACCTGCACCTTGGTACGAGAATCAAGGCTGTTAAAGGCCCCCCTTCTGCCATAAAACTGTGAGAGCAGCTCTGTCAGCCTTGCCCGATGAAGCCAAGCCAGCGGAGGCTGTTTAAGGCCAACCGATCACACTCGTCTGCCTGCGCGTGTTTAATCAGACACGGGCATCGTGGTGGTGAAGGGGCCCGACGTCCAGCTCACGGGGACCACAGAACGGCAGCCGGCTGTGTAAAGGGCTGGATTGGTGAGCTTCTGCAGTTCAACACAGCGGCTAATAGAAAGAAACACTAATGAGTAACAGCAGGAAGCAAAATAAGCAAAGTTAACAAGCTCATTCTCTCCCCCACACAGACAGTCGAGGCTCTAGGAGTCTGACCCCCCCCCCAGGAGCTCATTATCCTTCAGACATAATTATATCACTGCTACCCTCATTTGCTCTCCCTCTCCATCTCTCTCAGAACTGCCCCCCCAACTCTGTCTTTCTCTCTCTCCTGTGTGCAGGAGTCAAATTATTTTAACCAGGATATTTTATGATATGCAGTGGCATGTGCTCAGACAGGACTGAGCCTCGCGGCACTGGGTCAGCAGAAGCCCTGGCGGCCGGGTGGCTTCCAGCAGATCCGCAGGCTGCAGCTTCCTCTGCGGAGAGGGGGGGCTTCCCCGGGC